CACACACACACTGCTCACTCTCCATCGACACCACGAGACAACCTCTTCCTCACTGGTTCCTCTCCGCGCCCCTCTTCCTTCCTCTAATAACCCCTCCCGCCCCCGCCCTCGCCCCCCAGGAACCTTCCACTGCGACTCACAACCTCCTCCCGCTGACTAACCCATCCCCACTCGATCAACTCCTGCCCCGTAGAACCCCTCCCCCTACGGAGCCCCTTCCTGTCCACCGAACCCACTTTCTCCCTAGCTGAGCCCCCGCCCTGTCACCGGGCGGGCCCCCTCTCTCTCCCCGCACTCCACCCCTCCCCTCCACGGAGCCCACTTTCTAATTAGCTGAGCCCCTGTCGCCGTGCCCCTCCTTCAGAGCCAAGGAGCGGCCCCCGCGCGCCCGGCCGGCCAGCACCTCCCCGTCCCCGGGCGAGCATGGCCGGCACGGCGGCCCGGAGGGGAAGAGCTCGTCGCGTAGCCCGGGCCCCCACCCGCGCTCTTGGAGCTCCAGCCGCTCGCCCACCAAATCCCGCTCGCGCTCCGCGGAGAAGAGGGCCCGCAGCCCCAGCCGCTCGCCGTCGCCCAAGAAACCCGTGGGCCGGTAAGTGTGGCCGGGCTCCCGCCTGGCGGTGGGAGGAAGAAGAGGTGCAGGGGGTCGGGGAGAGGGCGGGCCCGGGAGGCCGCGGCGCTCACCTCCGGCGGGGCCCCGCAGGGACAAGGACGTCGAGGGCCGCGCGAGGCACGCCGAGGCCGAGGCCGTCCGCGCCCGGCGCCGCTCCCGCAGCTACTCGCCCATCCGCAAACGACGCCGGGACTCGCCCAGCTTCATGGAGCCCCGGCGCATCACCAGGTATGGAGGGGCCGGGGGACCAGCCGCAGAGATCTCTGGGGTGAGGGCACCTGGGACCTCCTGGAGCAGGGAGGGGACGAGGCGGAAGGAGAGGAGGTGGGGGTTCACTGAAGGAAAGGGGTTAGAACTAGTGCTGGAGAAGGGGTGGGACTCGGAGACAGAGAGAGAGGTTCCTGGAGGAGAAGGAGGTCTCAAGACGGGAATGGTCTCTGGTGGGGGCCTGAAGGCCCATGGAGAGGAGGGTAAGCGGCAAATGTGGACTTAAGCTCTGGAAGATTCCAGCCATCCCTCCTGGAGTCCCTCCCGCCCTTCTTTCCTACCCACATTCATCTCCTGGCAATGATGTCTCCTTTTCTCCTTCATCTCAAGGTCCAGCCTGCTGAGTGGCCTGTGGCCAGCCCGGGGGCCAAGTGGACCCCCTCTCCACAGGCTGCAGGGAGATGCCCATGTGAGCTGATCTGGCTCTGTTCAGCTGTCTGTCTGCCTCTCCTTTTCTCACTAACCTCACCACTCACCTCCCAGCACCCTGGGGAATTTGGAGGAGGGGGCACCAGCAGCCTGGTCTCTGGGGCAGCTAAGGGAGGAATCAGTCCCTCCCACTTTCCCCACACAGTCCAGTGGGGCTGTGCTATGATCAGAGCTTCTCTGCCAGCACTGGAGGGTCTGGGCCTGGGTCTCCAGGCGAGCCCATGGTCTGTGTTTGCAGAAATCACCCCGAAGCCCTAGACCCCTGACATGGGGCAAAATTCTGATCCCAGCTCTGCCACAGCCTTGCTGGGCAACCTTGAGAGATCAGTAGGCCTTTCTGGGTCTCTGTTCTCATGTCTGAACAATACGCAGGCCTCCCTGAGCATCTTTTCAGCCCTCACCTGGTCTGATTCTCAAACTGGCCCTTCCTAGTCCTTGATGTTCACATTGCTTCCTCCCCTCACTGCAGAGCTAGAGGCCAAACCTCCAGGCTTGGGACATTCCCCAGAGAGGTCACACACCGCACCCATATGCAGCTGGGTCCTAAGATGGCTGGACCTCCACACCTCCCACCTGGCACCCACCTCAGCCCTCCCCCAGGCTGCCTCCTCCTCCTCCTCCCACTAACGTACACCTGTTTTCTTCCTCAGAATTAACCCCACGTGATGGGGCATTGTCTCCCCCTTAACCACTCTCTTTTCTTTTTTCTGGGTCGCAGCCTCCTGGCTTCAAACTAACTCTGGGGCTGGCGGGAGGTAGCTGAGTGAGGAGAGGGGCCAGTAGGCATGGGCAGAAGTGGCCAGGGCTCTCTTCCTTATTCCCGTCACGTGTCCTGAAAAACCAAAATTCTCAATTCTGTGGGGAACAGAGGAGCAGGGCTGGGCCATATCCACAAACCCTTCCATGCACAGAAGCCACTGCTTAGCTTGGTTGGTGTGAGTTGTCTATACATAAAAGTTTCATTCATTCAACAAACATCTATTGAGCTACTCAGGTCAAGCTGAAATTCGGCCCCCTTTCCCTAAAGACAGATAAGGAAAAACAAAATGATCAACATGAAATTGGCCAGTGACCATTGACTGTCCAATCCTGTTGGGATGGGGGTTGAGGGGGTGGGCACTCCAAGGCTGGGGCTCCGGAGTCTAAGGCAGGGAAGCGCTGGCCACTGCTGGGGAGGGGCTTGGGGCCTGAGTGAAGGCCCTGGATGGCCTATAATAAGCTTTTCCCTCCTGGCAGTGCCCGAAAACGGCCCATCCCCTACTACCGGCCCAGTCCCTCCTCCTCCTCCAGCTGCCTCAGCAGCGACTACTCAAGCCGGAGCCCCAGCCGCAGCCCCAGCCCTGGCCACAGCCATGGAAGCTACAGCAGCCGCAGCCGTGGGACCCGCAGCCGCACGTGCAGCCCCTCCCGGACCCCTAGTCCCAGCTACCACAGCCGGAGCAGTTCAGAAAGTGGGGGCTTCTGAGCCCAGACAGACGCAGCTCAGTGCCCCCTGACACAGGGAGAGGCGAGGGGTCAGGCCCCAGGACTCATGGGGGGCCCTACACCCCACTGCTACAAAGAGGTCCCAGGGCCAGGGAAGACCTTGGGGTTGGGCATCCTGCAGACAAGGACGAGCTGGGTTCTGCTGCTTCTAAAGGGTTCCCACCCCCACCTCCTGCCAGCCCACTGTGTCCAGGGAACAAAGAGCTTTTTCGAACACAGGGATCACCCTCCCCCGCTTCCTGCTTGATGCCAGCTCACTAGGCTGGGGACCTCAGCTCAGTGGACCCAGAAACACCTCGGAAGGTGCCAGTCCTGAGAGCCTCCCCTACCCACTCTGCTGGACCCTTGGTTCTTCTCTATCACTGGGCGGACAAAGAGGTGGAACAGCAAGCGGGATCTAAGTTAAACTGAAGGAAGAATGGCCTAACTCTTGGTGCACCACCATCCAGGCTACGGAGCTACTTCCTTCTGAGCTGGCTGCAGGAGGACCGTGGCTGAGGACTGGAGGCTGGCCCCCCGCAGCCTTCCTAAATCCCTCCCCTGGCCCAGGAGTGCCAGACCAGGTGGGCCACTAAGCCCCAGCCTCAGGGCTGGGGAGCTCACTTTTGATCCCACCTCTTCTCTCCAGGCCAGGCTATCCCTTCCAGCCCTCACCCCATGTCCTAGGCCAAGACCACACCAGCCAGGCCTTCTGTATGACAAAAGGTGGGACATACAGGCTACAACTGCATCTGACCCTGAGATTAAAAGGGGTTCAGGTCAGGAGGTAGAAGAGAGTAGGGGTGGATGAAGGAGGAGCCTGTGACAAAAGGGAGAAGCAATGCAGCCTGCTGCTCTAGCAGGCCCTGGTGTCCCCATGTGCCCCTTGTCTGGGACATGGACCAGACGGCAGCACAGGGTCACAGGCATAGATAACATGTGCTTCAGGCCTACCCAAGGGAGCACTTCCTCCTCAGGGTTTGGTGGGGAGATGGCCAGCCAAGGCTCTCCAGAGAAGGGTGCTACAGCCCCTGGAAGAAAGGGTATGATCTAGTCTGAGGGCCTTGGCCTGGGGCATCGATAGGAAACAGTGGCCCCCAGCCCTCTTCTGCTGCTCCCAGCCCCCTCCTCCTGGGGCCCTCAGGGATCTCACGAAGTCTTCCTTGGCCCAATAGGGCAGATGCCCTGGGCTCTGGTGGGGGGAGGGGTCTGGGGTCTGGTCCGGGTTCCCCCTCTCTCTATTTCTCCCTCCCTCTCTCCGCAGTGCGGGTAAAACTTGGACTCTAATAAAACACTCGGTGCCCGGATGGCAGGTGGTGAAACCAGGCCTCTGTGGATTTGGGTACCTGGGGAGTATGGGGAGGGCATGGGGGCATGGGGTCCTGAGGTCCTTCCTTCCAAGAAATCGGAGGAGCTCAGACTCCTCCGGACCCAGAGAGAAGAGCTGGCACCAAGGAACCAGAGCCCAGCACCCATCCATTCTACTCCCCACATCCATGTATAAGTCTGCAGAGCCTGCAGCTCAGTGGGGAGGAAAACAGGGACCCAAGACCACCTCCACTCCCCCCAACCCCCACACCCCATCTAGCCTCAGCAGTCGATGGGAGTGGAGCAGAGGGAAAAGGCACTGGGCCAATACACAGGACTCTCCCTACAGGTGGAATGTTCCAGAACAGCTAGAACATAGCTTGGAGCATTATGTCTATAAATCCAGGCCCCAACTCTTCCCAGCTGTGTGACACACAAGGCTGAGGTACCAGAAAGGAAATACTGTCCTGAGAGTGCTAAGCACCAGGACTGGCATAGAGTGAGTATTCCATAAGTGGCCACGTAAGGAAAAATACCAAGTGTCCAGCCCTGGCTGGGCACTAGGATGGGGCCGGAAATGGAGGGCTGTGTTTTTGTTTTTGTTTTGATCAGTTACTCGCATTGTATTTATTTCTTTTATATAGATCTAAACAAATGCACCAAATCTTCTCCTTTTTCTCCCTTTCCTCCTCCTCCTCTTCCTCCTTTTCTCTTAAAGTGGTAGATGTTAACCTTGTTTCAAATCAGCTGTTCTTTGGGGATCTGATGAAGGCTGGGAACCCTTTCCCCAGATGTGCACATGCCCACAACTTGGCATGCAATGTCAGATCTCACATTCACTCGAAAGCCTTTAGGGCCCCACAGGTGAAGAATCCTGGTCCACCTCTGCTGAGGGAGCAGCTGACGTGTCCCTGGCTCTCCCGTCTGCATGAGCCATGATGCATATGTCCTTGGTCTGGTCTGGTCTCCAGAGCAGGGGGGCCATGCGCCTGAAGCTATGGCTATGTCAGCGCATGACCTCCAGTTTCTTTTCCCTCTGGCTGGAAAGGGCACCTGAAGGGCCTTTGGCCAGTGGCTGCTTCTGATCTGAGGATGCTGTTCAAAGAAGCACCTGTGTCTCTTTAACCCTTTACACAAGTTCAGCAAAACCGTGCCTCAGGCAAGCAGTGGGGGCCGCAGGGAGCACACTTGGCCCTGCTCTGGAGATGCCACTTCCTGGGCAGGGGAACATGAAATACACCCAAAGGTGGGCATGAAAATGCAGCCTGTCTCTCACTGAGCTCATACCTGCTCTATTCCATTTCCTCACTGCTCAGCCTCACGCCTCCCTCCTTGCACCCCACAGCTAGGCTGCCCCCAGATGGTGCCACTTCTTCCCTTTCTGTCCCACCTTTCTTCCTGGCCCAGCAATCCTGGGCCCTCTGACTAGGACCCCTCCCATTAGTCAGCCTCCCTCCCTCTTGCCCCCTCCAGTCCATCCTGCTCTATCTAAAATGCAAATCCGACCTTTCACTCATTCCACACATACTTATTGAACACCTACTGTATGCTATGCACAGCCCCTGGCTCTGAGGACTTAGTACTGAGTTAATGAAACAGAACTTTCTGCTCTGTGGACCCTGCATCCTAGGACATATCCACCTCGTAAGGCCTTCCAAATGGCTCCACCTGGAATGGCTATCCTTTCCTCCTGCCAGCCCTCCGACCTCCTCTCCCACCATTGCCCTTGACGCCTGTACATCCCAATCCAGATGACCCCCCTTCCTGGACCCCCAGAGTTCCGGTGAGCTTATGGTTCGAGGCCCAGCTCAGCTGCCTCCTACTCCGAAGAGGCTCTGGTCCGCAGCTGCAGCGGCTACTCCTGCCTCTGGGTTCCTCCAGCTCTGGGTCTATTCCTGCCTTTAGGGACTTAAACTCTTGTTCCAGTTGTTTGTTGGCAAGTCTCTCTCTCTCCCTAAATCTGTGAGCTTCTGGAGCCCAGGCAATGCCTTATTGGTCTCTGCCATCCCAAAACAGGCACCCTTGAAATGTTTGTCTAATGAGTCAATGAGTGAATGAGGTAATGCGTGAGTGAGGTAGCCAGGGAGTGAGCAGTTCCGGAAACCCTGGAGGGAGGGCAGGAGCCAAAGGCCAGGTGCGGTGGCAGCAGAAGACACTAGAGGGCGACAGAGAGCGAGGAAAGCTGCCAGTTGGTATCTCACCAAGAGGGGCACAAAACAGGCCTGAACAGAGAGCGCCCTGGTGGGGAGGACCCCGTCAGCCTGGAGGCCTTAAGCTCTTGTCCTCAGCGCCCTCCCTGGCTACTTGGGGATGCACTCCCGGGACGGGGAGGCTAGCAGGGCACCAGGCCTCTGTCCCTCCCGTGGCCTGAGGGGTCAGCCTCCGCTCTGTACCTTGGGAAAAGGGAAAAATACTGCCAGGAAGGCAGGCAGGAAAATAGGAAACTCCAATTCTGCGTTGGTGACAAGGACGGGGAGATGGTATGGGTGTGGGGGGAACCTTCCCAGGCTGTGGGCCTCTGGGATGCAGTAAGGCCTCCCCTGATTTTTGTCTCCACAGATGGGGGCTATGGGGACACCCCCCACCACCACCACCAATCCACACAGCATCCGGGAGGATGGACAGGGCTTTCCCATGTCCTGTTTTCCTTAACCGGTTTCCCTCAGCCCCAGATCCAGGGTAGCAAGTCCCAAGCGCACACACCCTGTTTGGGTGTCCCACCTGGCATCCCCCATCCACTGCCTCTCTGAGATGCTCTTGGAAGCCCCCTCGCCTCTCACCAGCCGTTCTCAGTTGAGGGTGTATTCAGCAAACCAGTTGTGACACCAGACACCTGTCCTTCCTTCTCCAGGGCCCCCTCCACCTGAGAAAGGCTCTCAGGACATGACATATGATGATGCTTCAGCTACAGGGCCTCCCACCTCCAGGGGTGCCACACCTCCATGTCCTCCCTCACCCCATCCCTCTACTCACATATACACACCCCCTCCGGCAAAGCAGGCAGTGTAGGGGGGCTGGGGGGGGAGGAGAAACTGTTGATTCATTGTGCTGGAAGGACTCTTAGGGAACGTCCAATCCAATGGTCTCATTGTACAGATGAAGAAAATGAGTCACAGGAGCGGGCTGCTGGCCAAGCCAAGGTCACAGAGTCAGAGACATGCAGGTCCCCAGGCTCCCAAGTTAGACAGATTGTTTCTGCTGGACAGAGGGGTGGGCGGGGCCAGAGGATGGGTCTCCTCCCACCTGGCCCCTCCTTGGCACCCCTTCAGCAGTGATGGGGGTGAGGGGATCCCAAGGCCAGCCAAAAGCCAGAGGCCTAAGGGGTGTGCATGCTGGAAATGGGTTTTTGGAAATAGATTCCTAGAGGGACAGTGTCTAGACGTTTCCAGAAAGACCTAGTGCCCCCCACCCCCATGCGCTCTAATTACTGCTGCCCACACTTTCAGTTCCCAGCAGGCCCAGCAACCAGCGCAATCCATCAGCTGTCAGGCTTCTCCAGGGAGCTCCCGCAGCTGCCTGAAGACTCTCGAACTTTCTCTGGGGCTGAGCCAGGGAAGGAGGGGCTGACTCAGCCACAGTTGGCAAAGGCCACCCAAGGGTGTGGCTAGTGTGGCCAAGCGCCAGGCTGGGAGGCTGTTCTGGGAACTGCTGCAGAGTACCCCAGACTTTGGGGCCAGGGATGAGGGGAGGGGCCCCTCTGATTAAGGAATTCCAGACCCTGTAGTGCCCAACACCCCTCACCACTCACCCTGCCCCCACCCCTACCCTCTTGGCTTCTAGGAAATCCCTGGGGGTAGAGTTAGTTGTCCTCTTAATCCAAGAAAAACTACCACCCTATGGCAGCTCAGTGCCTGGAATGCTAGAGCAGAAAATTGTCAAAGAACATTGGGATGGATGGGCAAGTGGGGGCTGACATCAGTCCTTGCTCCTCTTTTTTTTTTTTAAGATTTTTTTTAAATTGGGGAATTGGGGGACAGTGTTGGGGAATTGATTGGGGAAGGAGAACAGCCAAGTTGTTGTCCTTCAGTCTTAGCTGTGGAGGGCACAGCAAGCTCAGCTCCAAGTCCAGTCACCATCCGGTCACCCATTGGCAGCTCAGGGCCTCTCAGCTCAAGATGCTGTGTTCAATCTTAGTTGCGGGCGGGCGGGCGTAGCCCACCATCCCATGCAGGTGTCGAACTGGCAACCTTGTTGTTAGGAGCACGTGCTCTCACCAGCTGAGCCATCCTGCCACCTGTTGGCAGCTCAGCTCGGGCGCAGCTCACTGGCCCATGTGGGAATCGAACTGGCAACCCTGTTGCTCAGAGCTCGCGCTCTTAGCCAACTGAGCCACTTGGCCAGCCCTGCCCTTGCTCCTCTTGCCAAGCCCTGTGCCTGGGTTCAGGGTGCAACCTCCTGGACAAAAGGCACCTACCTGGTCAGAGCTGGAAGCACCCTAGAGGGTCAGGCCCAACCCTCCCTGTTCCAACAGGCAACACCTCACCCTGTACCCAGAAGCCCACAGCCCTCCCTGGACTGTCTGGGAAGTCTCCCCCAACGGACAGAGAATCAGGCCTGAATGCTAATCCTTTCCACCCCCTTACCAGCTTTGTGACCTTGGACAGTTCTGACCCTACGTTTTCTCATCTCAATAACGGGACTCTATTAAGATACCTGGACATGCTAGAAAGTTCATACAACTGCATAATTCTCAGTCTAAGTTTCAATATTCAAAAGTAAAGGCCTTCTTTCCTTAATAATGATTAATACTTAATGAGCACCAGGCAGTTCATGTGCATAACTGTATTTGAGATTCACCACAACCCTGCAAGATGGGCATGTTATTAGCCACGTTTTGCAGATGGGGACATGTGGGCTCAGAGTGGTCACCAGGCCAGTGAACAGCAGCACCCAGATTCAAGCCCATCCTTGCCTGACCCAAAACCCATTTTCTCCCACACCCCACACCCTCTTACCATGACCCAGAGCCACCCATGTCCCCTCCCTTGTTACTGGCAGGGTGACCTAAGAGTCCCTCAAAAACTGGCCCATTGAAGATGAATGTGAATTCTCTGTTCTGTCTCCCCAACCTGTCATGGGCAGAGTGACGGAGTTGTTGCACAACTTCCTTGGCAGGGGTAGTAGGATGGATCCTACCTGCCTGGTTCCAGGTAAGATGAAGGGAGCTTGTGCCTACAAGTGCTGGCAGCCAGCCAGGAAGCCTCCACCCAGGGCATGGCTGGGCCTGGCAGAGCCACACTTGAAAGCATCCATGACCACATCTGACGGCTTCTTCTAGGGTGGGGCACCTGCGCTCTAGTCTGAGCCAAGGTGGGCAGGCAGGGGCGGATGAGGGCCCTCCCTGGCTTCTGAGCTCATCCTGACTTTATAGAGTTGAGGATGGGTGGGGCTGTGAATGCCAGGGACCAAAGACCTGGGGCTTCCTGAAGCTGAGACCCTTGTGGGGCAGCCAGGAGCTCCCAGTTGAGACCTACTGGGCTCATGACATAATCCAGCAAGGGAAATGGGGCAGAGGGCAGGGACCCTGTCTGCATCCCACCCTTGGCTCAAGAGAGCCCCAGGTGCTCAGAGGCCTTTCCAGAGGTGACATCAGATTCATAGCCCAGCCCCAACTCTTTCCTCATGGGGCGCAGGTGAGTAAGACAGAAAAGCATCCAGGAGCTCTCTCTCTCTTGAAGAGGAAATTGAGGGTCGGGGAGGGCATGAGATTCATTGAGGTGAGTGGTCTGGAGTCTAGCTTCCAGCCCCTCCGGTGTCCTAGGCAGGGCAAAGCCCCTGTAGAACTGACAGAGTATAGCTTCAGCCCCAGAAGAGGGGCAGTAAACATGGTGGGTCTCAGAAAGAGAGAAGGTAGGGAAACTCCAAGGTAAGAGCCCCTGAGGGTAAGAGCCCCGAGCACTAGAGAGGCAAGAGGCTTACTCTGCTGCTGTCTTACAGGAGACAGTGGGCCAGTCGCTCTAAACCTCAGTTTCTTCATCTAAAAAGGAAGGATAATAGGACATAAGTCAGCAGAAGGAAGGCAGGACCAGGGTCATGCCTATGAAGGAAGGAAAGAGGGAATGTTAGGATTATGGCAGAAGCCAGGGACACCACCCTCTCCAAGCAATGGGAGATGAGGCCTGGATCCCATAGGTGATCAGATAGGAGGGGTCAAGGGGCAGGCCCCAGGCTCCAAGCAAGAGTGAGCAAACTGTGCTATTTTGAGCCCCCTCTCTCTTTGTGCTGTGGGAGTAAAAACAAAAGGGGCTTTGAGATCATAATCTGCAAAAAGGGAAATTGAGGCCTAGAGAAAGGAGGGGCCCTGCCCCAAATCACACAATAAGTCAATGACAAACCCCAGACTATATTCAAGGTTGCTGCATTTCAGACTTCCTGTCCTCAAGGAAAAGTGGATATAACGCGGAGGTTGACAATAACCTTCCTCTTCACCCCTTCTCAGCACTGGGTCCCAGGTTCTCATCTGGGCCAGCCCCACTGCTGGGGGTAGGGGAAAACGGCCAGACCCACACATACCACTGCCTCTGCAACAGGGATAGGTACACATCTTCCTCCTTCCTCCCTCTCTTCAATTCCAGGTAGCTAATAATAATAATTACCATGTACCAGGTCCTGAGCTACAGTCTATGCTTGCATTGTCACATAATCCTCCCACCAACACAGTGATGTAAGCATTATTATCATAATCTCCATTTTCCAGATGGGGAAACTGAGGCACACAGAGTCTAACTTGCACAAGTTCTTCCAATTAGTGGCAGAACCAGGATGTGAACCCAGGCAGTCTGGCTCCAGAGCCCACAGTCCTAAAAACCACACGAGGATGGACGCTCCTTAAGGCATTATTTTACAGGGAGAGCCATTCTAGTTGTTAGATGGGATGCTGCCCAAACCCTGAACCGCTAAATTAAAGCCACTTAGCTCTTTTTAATTTTTTTTCTTAAGACATTATTTCACAGACACCCTGTGGTTCAAATCCTGGCTCTACCACTTCCTAGTTGTGTAGCCTGGGACAAGTAATCCAACCTGTCTCAGCTTTGTCTTCCTGGACAAAAGAAGGGAACTCTCCTGAGGCCGCGGGCCAGTGCTTTACCGCCCAGGCCTGTCCAGCAAGTGGGCACTGTATCAACACAGTGCTCACCGTGGGTGCTCCGGTCATTTGTTTGTTTTTTTGAACGAGAAGGTTCCAGATGTGGGCAGTCTTCTTCGCCCCGCCCCTGCGCCGGTATGCAGGGGGAGGGGCTGCCCACCACCCGTCATTGCCATTAATAGAGACCTGAAGCACCGCCTGCTAAAAATACTCGGCTGGAGCCCCTATAAAAGCGCTTCTTGCTCCAGCGCCCGACACTTCTCTGAGCCTCAGCCAGACGCGCAGATCCGATCCAGCATGACAGAGCGCCGCGTGCCCTTCTCGCTCCTTCGGAGCTCAAGCTGGGACCCTTTCCGCGACTGGTTCCCGCCCCACGGCCGCCTTTTCGAGCAGTCGTTCGGGATGCCGCGGTTGCCCGAAGATGTGGCGCTCTGGTTGGGCCACAGCGGCTGGCCCGGCTACGTGCGCCCTGTGCTCCCGGCCGCGGAGGGCTCCTCGGCAGTGGCCACGCCCGCCTACAGCCGCGCGCTCAGCCATCAGCTCAGTAGCGGCGTCTCGGAGATCCGGCACACGGCCGACCGCTGGCGCGTGTCCCTGGACGTCAACCACTTCGCCCCCGAGGAGCTGACGGTCAAAACCAAGGACGGCGTGGTGGAGATCACCGGTGAGCCCCCGGCCCTTCAGGGACGGAACTGGCGGGGCGGGGAGGGTAGCCTGAGCAGTGAAAACTTAAGCTTCCTGGCCCTGCCCCAGGCCTGTGTCCCCTTCTCTAGAATGGGGGTAGCTGATAACTTCCAAGGGACCTTTCGGTCCTAAAAACGCTCTATTAAGGGAAGAAATGCCCCCTTTCAGAGAAGACCCCCGCGCGC